AATAGTCCTTTCCTATATAATAACAGAAGATTACAACCAAATACAAACGAATGAAAGTTTAGAAGGCATATATTTAATATATCAAAATTTATTATATTAAGCAAATATTATGGTTATTCATTTGAAACAGATAAGACATCTTAATCCAATGTAAAAACACTTGAGAAAAGTAAATAGTTTATTTGAAAATAAGTAATTGTGCAAATGAATGGAATTCATATAAAGCGGAGGAACCATAAGTGAATGCACAAAGGAATATGAACTTAAACCTCTCAAAAACCATACTTTATTTTTCACGTTCAAATTTTAATCTTTCATGGAAGAAACCTAAAACTTAAACGACTGTATCCGGGTGATGACAGTGGAACCCGGGGGGGGGGGGGGGGGGGGGATTGTACTTCCAGTCTAACTTTTTTTTGTGCCTTTTTTATCAACCTCTTATCTCCCTTCACTACCCAAAAAAAAATGAGAGTAGTGATGGAACATTTGTATCACTAAACTACGTAATTCCATGGCTAAATAGGATTTATGTCGTTAAATGCGTAATTTCTCAGCCATTTATTTGCTAATATTGCCAAGCTAAAATCATCTGTCGCAATATCCGTTGCTTAAACCAAATTTTTAAGGTAGTATTTATTTTCTCTTTTAAACTTATAGGAGAAATTTAATAAGAGTTAAATGGCACGAGAAAAAGATGAACCAATTTCTTAGATTTAGAGAAATATCAGGTCATCACTTCTATGATCCGGATTATATGTATACATAGGCAGTCACACACAAGAATGTTTAAAGGGATAAAATTTTATTTAATATAAACACTAAACTTTAATGGTGCAAAATTCTTTTAATAATAATCACAAGTAAGCAAACTGAATTTACGGATGCTAGTAAAAAAAGGTCAAGAGAACTTTAAATTATGATATTCGATCTCTTCCCACCATAAATGGTACTCACAAAATCCAAAACCTTTTTGCATTAGTAAATAAGATCTCTTAATCTCAACTTATCCATTAGTTTGAAGAATTTGATATACCAACGATTAAATTTCTTCTAAATATTCCCTCTCTGAAAGAAAAAGAATATAAATAGCAACACTTTTATCCTTACATCTATCCCTAGAACTCTTCTCTCCGTCCAGGTCAAATATTGCAAACTCAACCTTGTGCTCTCCACTATGCTGCTGCCCCTGTAGAAAGGAACCCCGACTCATTCAAAAAGTTCACAAAAGATAGTAAACAAAGAACGAAACATTTAAAATAATGTGCATTATAGTTATGAAAAAACAAAATGGAGAAGATAGAACATCAAAGATATAGGAGATAACTGCACATCTGTTAGAGATAGACCCACTGCCTGAAATAAATTACCAGTGTCAGTTCTAAATAATTTTGTTTAAGAAAATACTCATAGAAGTGATCAAGTGAATAATAAGAACCCGGAAGGACAAAAAACACAAAATGTAAAGGTATGGTACTCGAAGATAAGTCAGCACCTATTTATTCCTCTTCCATTCTCTTCCATTATTACAATTTTGGGTCGGTATGCTTTGCATACCTGGACGTTCTCGGAACCAAGGAAACATGTTAAGATTTCTTTAAAATGAACCGGTTCTTGGTAAATGAATAGTCAAACGTTTTTTAGAAACTGAAAGGTGCCAAAACGGTTGTTTTGTAAAGTCGCACCTCTTAACGCATTTTCAGACACTTAAAAAAATATTAAAAATAAAATAAATGTACAAAGAAGGAATAAAAGGCAAAAAAAATGAGAAAAAAAGATAAGAAGGAATCCTACTCTATGAGAAAGCCACGTCACCTTCTTTTTGCTCTTCTTTATATAGATATAGAAGATTCTTCATGTTAAATCCTTGTGAAATTCATGAAATTAACTTGCAATAAGTGGGAATCACTTACCTCATGACGGATGATGAAAATGGCACTCCAAAATTGCCCCAAATCCGAGCTCCAATCTCAAAATTGTGAATGAAATACTCAAACCTCGAATAAATAGAGTCTGCCGAGCATCTTCGCACCTACGGAATGGTAGCCGCACCTACGACGTCGCTTTTGCGACCAAAACATCGCTTCTGCGGAGAATCGCTAGAGGCCATCCTTCGCACCTGCGGAAAAGTTCCTCTTCTGCGCAAACGCAGGTGCGATCCAAGCTTCTGCTTTTGCGCTGCCTTCCGCTTCTGCAATCGAGGAATCCGCTTATGCGGACGCGCAGATGTGCCCAACATTCCACTTCTGAGGCTCCCCCCTTCCAGTCCACATTTCGCTTCTATGACCAAAGTGCCGCGTCTGCGGGCTCGCATCTGCGACCAGCCCTCAGCATATGCGGACACACCAGAACCTCTGCCATCAACCTTAACCAAAATAATTCGAAATGATCCGAACATCATCTGAAACTCATCTGAGCCACTCGGGACCCCGTCTGATTATACCAAGAAGTCTTATAACATAACATGGACCCACTCGAGGCCTTAAATCACATCAAACAATATCGGAATTGTGAATCGCACCTCAAATCAAACTTATGAATTTTCAAGTCTTCCAATTTACAAAACTCGTGCCGAAACATATCAAATCAACCCGGAATGAATCCAAATTTTGCACACATGTCCCAAATGACATAACGAAGCTATTCCAATGCTCAAAATTCCAAACGGACATTGATAACACCAAAGTCCAGTTCAAGTCAAACTTATGAATTTCTAAAAAATTTCAAATGCCAACTTTCCATAATAAGCGCCAAAATACTCCCGGACCACCCGATACTCAATACGAATATATGTCCAAATCCGAAATCATCAAACGAACCTATTGGAACCTTCAAATCCCGATTCCGAGATCGTTTACTCAAAAGTCAAACCTAGGTCAACACTTCCAACTTAAAGCTTCCGAATTGAGAATTTCCTTTCCGAAACAACTCCGAACTTCCCGAAATTCAATTCCGATCACACGTACAAGTCATAATATATGAAGTGAAGCTACTCAAGACCTCAAACCACCGAACAACGCGATAGAGCTCAAAATAACTGGTCGGGTCGTTATATACTCCCTCACTTAAACATACGTTCATCTTCGAACGTGCCAAGAACTGCTTCGGAGTTGCCCCAAAATCACTGTTTAACGCCTTGTGCACCTACCCGTGCCACCACAACCTAGGTGAATACATTAGCTTGAGCCAGACTGAAGATTTTCCCTGCTACCTTAGCCCACAAGCCTTAGAACCAAATTCCAACATCCAGAATTCTCTTCCAGGTTTGATTCCAACATACGAACACCGACACAGTCTCCACCCACTGTACCAAATATGATTATGCACCCATACTAAGATCTCACAATGTACCACACAACTCGTATGTTCATAATAACATCCTCCGACTATAATAGCTGCAAATTTAGGAATCAGATGCCTGTAGTATAACTCATAACACATATAAGACCGGTTCCTACTCTCGCAATACTGCTACGACTAAAAAGATGTGCAGGAACTCATAACCACCCGTCAACTCAATAACTCACGGTGTTCTCCGCTTGACAAGAACCTTTTCCTTATTTTGAACTAATCATTGACATTTTCTCTTTAATATACCTTACATAAATCCGATCGCACCGATTTTCAAGTCCAATAGACTCGTGGACCGGCGTTTCCAATTTTGATGGTTCGAGGGATATGATCTCTGAGGTGGTTTCTATGCTTGGAAATTTTGAATGTAACGAGAAGGGCTTGATTGGAATGTAGGAAAAAGTTATGTATTCGATCATTGTCATGGGTGAGTTACGGCTTAGAGTTTCAAACACGTTGTTGTACCTTACGGATGGCGGATCAGTGTGGACCTAGGGAGGTTAGTTTATTTCATGATGGATGCAACTATAGCAGTGAAGTTAGAGGAGGTCAAGATGAGGGTACACAAGTGGGCTATCTTTTGTGAGCAGGTTAGCGCTTGCGTGATTTTGATGCGGTTCCTATGAAGAGTTCTACTTTCTGCCCAACATGGGATTAATGTACTACGAGGTGAGCTTGGATCGCTTGAAGAAGATGATACGACGGTTAGGAGGCCGAGTGTATGATTGTGGAGGATAATTCAGGATGTGTTATGATTAGTCCAACAAGAACTTATGAGGAATTTGGCCGAGCAATGGTGTGGGATCATGGTAACTGGGAAGAAGAGGTCATTGTAGGGTTTGGATCTGGTCACCCGGGATCCAAACCAAGCATGCGTACAGTATAAAGTCATCATACAAACCTACCGGAATTGTCAAAATACAGATCTGAAGTCGTTTATCAAGAAAATTGACCATGGTCAAATCTAACAATATTAAGGCTCTAGAATTAGAATTTATCTTCCAAAACATATCTAAACTTTTCGGATATCGAAACGAACCATGCATACATATCAGGAAACATCAAATGAGGATATCAAGGACTCAAATCACAGAACGAAAATCTAGAACTCAAAACACCTATTGGGTCGTTATAATTAGCCATAACTAAGGTAACTTAGCTAACAAACTACTTACCTAATAGAAGTATTCCTCTGCCTTATTTTATGTTGCAGACTATCTCTTTTTGTCTTGTATTAACAAGAAAATATTTTATATTTAGAAACAATTTAATTTTAAATTTTTATCTTACTTCAAAAAAAAAGATTTTATACTCACACAAATATCTACATTTTTTAGATCACAAGTTTCAAAAATCATTTTTTCTTTAGTAAACTATGTACCTAATCAAATACAATTACTAAAATTGGGACCAAGTGAGTATTAAAGTCTTTGCGATGAAACTATGAAAAAGCTGTTGAATTTATGTTCTAATTTATCAAGTTTCAGTGACGAGTTATACTTCTCAAAAGTTTTGAACATGCGTGCCACTCTCGCTTCCTTGGGAATTGAACTCAAGCTTTCCTTGTAAACTACAACTCTCATTTTTTGGGGACAACCACGTAAATAGAATTCCTTTAGTTCATTCGAATTAAGATTGTAAAACATCAAACATTCACTTTTGCTTTGAAAAAGCAATAAATAATCTTGCCAAACTGCTTATGGGGTTTCAATAGGAAGACCTCTAATTTTGTATTTCTGTATCCAAGAATCATATACATCATAATCTATCATCATCCAAATTCCCATCAAATCTTTTGTTGGATCAATCACGGGCACTAGACAGGGGTAACATATCAAGGTGAGAGACTCATTTAAGTTAATGAGGCTATATCGTTTTCTATTTGAGCAGTCATGAGTATTAGGCGTTTTCATATTACGAAAAATCTCTGTACTCATGTCAAAACAAAGAATTACTCGATTGGCGAACCAATGAAAAGATCCCTTGTAAAAAACCTGAGAACAAGGCGACCAAACAAACACGGGTAGCGGTGGATCCACATGATCCAATTCTCTCCATGAATCAATACCCAATTCATAAACCTCCACTTTTCCCCCTTCCTCTATAGGATAACCATAACAATACGATCCTCGCTGTAAATTTCAAAACTTTTTAACAACCTTGTAGTCATTTGCAATGGAGTCGAAGTCAAACCCAACACATCTGATTGTTCGATAGTGATTTCTCGGACAATTAAAAGGGCTGGGCGGGAGCAGCATATACTTTCTTGTTGACGGATTGAATAACAGAGTATTAAGATCATCCATCAAAGCTATCAAACCATGACAAGGACCAATGAGTTGATCATACTCAATACTATACGTCGCTGTCATATAAGGCACATCTTGATCCGGAATAATGGGGTTGAGATAATCATCAGCTCTAACAGAAAGAAAAGATATGATAGTTTTATACAGACTGGTTTCTTCTTTCCATGAGCGCTTAAAAAGAATGAATTCATCTTTGTCATTTGTGGTCCGACTGAGATGAAGATTGACAAAAATGGAGGATTTTATGAGAGTGTAACAAGTTTTTGAGATGCATTTGAATCGCAAAAGAAATTTTACCCGAAACCTTAATAGTATATAAATAACCACGTCTTCTGGGAATCTTTTCATAATTCCATCGACCATCTTGTATTCTTTACACTCTAACATTCATTGCACTTCGGAGAATGATTATATATTATATATGATGTAATTACTTTATCACTTTGTTTACCTGAAAAATCGGATAACGTTAAATTTAGATCCCTTGATTCTCGCCAAGATTCTCTCCTTTGGTGCGGTTGTAACGGCTCTTGTCTGCGAGCTTGGCACTGACTCGAGCTTGGTGCTAGATCGAATCCCCAGTCTTAGTTCGAGCTCGGTTCTGCCTTGGAGCATCGATATTCGGGGCCTGTGTTGATTGGCATTACCCCGTAGTCCGATTCGGACACGGGCTCGATAATGATATCGAGTTTTGCCGTTGATTGGTCTTATAGCTCGAAGCTCGACGTCTCTACTTCGGAATTCGTCCGAGCTCACCATGTGGATACCCTTCGATTGAAACGTCATTGTCTCGATCAGTCTTTATGACTGAAAATCGGTTTTAACCGTACACAGATAGTCCCCTCGTTTTTCGGAAAGGATGTGGCGAGGAACAATATGATTTCCCTGCGGCTCGATCAAATTTATGCCGACGTTTCTATCGAACCCGATCTCGACGTATGTGATAGCTGTCCCATCGGCTCGGTTTTACCGAGGCAATTAATGTGTGTCAGACGGTGGTCGGCCACCACTGATACCGAACCGTCAGGCCTTAGTCTATAAATAGTCTTTCCACACAACTTTTACCATTTTTGCGCCTTCTCTTCTTTCAAACTTTCCNTTTTACCGAGGCATTTAATGTGTGTCAGACGGTGGTCGGCCACCACTGATACCGAACCGTCAGGCCTTAGTCTATAAATAGTCTTTCCACACAACTTTTACCATTTTTGCGCCTTCTCTTCTTTCAAACTTTCCTATTTATCCTCTCTACTTCGCTGCTACGGGGCCGTCCATACCAAAATTTTGGTGTTGTCTATTTCTTCCTTTGCACTCTTTCCTTTCATATCAATGGCGAAAACTTCCAAAACCGTACCTAAGAAGGAAAAAGCCTCTTCCTCACGGCCGTCTGATGATAAGGCGCCGGTGGAGCCGTCAGTTCATGACTATATTCCTGGCCCGTGCATTTTGAAAACTGATTTTAAGGTGGAGAACCATTCCTCCGTTCCGGGTCGATGCGAACACGTATCGATGTATACATGCTCTATAACGGAGGATCACCTCGAGGCCGTCCGAAAAGACTGCAACTGGGGTTCCGAGGTCGTGTTGCAAATTTTGTCTTCCGATGAGGATGTTACCACTTACGTGGATGAGTTTTTAAGTGTTTACACTTATCCCTTCACACTGGGACATGTCGACCCGGTGATTATTGATTTCTGCAAAAGGTATCAAGTCACCCTTGGCCAAATCCATCCCTATTTATGGCGTATAGTGATCTTATTGCGCTTCTCTATCAAAGCCGGGGGGTTAGATTTTTCTCTGAACCACCTCATACGACTGTATCGGCCTCAGATCTTTCGAGGACTAATCAGACTTCATCGTCGGGCATCGAAGGTATTGATGTCGAGCATCGATGAAGACAAGGATCGAGGTTGGATGAGTCGTTATATCTGAGTGAGGACCCGTGATCTCATTCCGGAGGAGAAGATGTTGTTCCCTGAAGAATGGAATTTTGACCGTAAGTGATTTTTGTTCACTTTTCAGGTGTTTTTCCAATTTTTTCTGATGTCCTTCCCTGATGTTCAGCTGGGTTCCCTCCTGATGTAATCTCGGGTGCGTTTTTCCCTCGTGATGGATACCTAAGTGCGCTTTATCATTGGCCCCTAAGGGACATCTACCCCTCCAATGATCATGTTGATGACGTGTTGAGGTTCTTCTTGGTTGGTCTGTTTGTTGGAGTCCCTATTCCTGAAGTGGTTTTTGGCTCGATCACTCAGAAACTCTCAGAGGTGCCCGTTATTGAACAACCGGGAAACTTCTTCACTCAATTGTCGGCATTCCTCGGTCATGTGGCCATGAATGCCATGATACTTACACATCTGGTTAAGATCTCTCTAGGTAGGATCGTACTGCACTGGTCGAGGCCACTTGGTTTCTTTGATATGCCCAGTGGCCGATACGATGCTGGTTGCATCAATGTTGAAGTTATACTCTGATAATCTCGGGGCTTCCCTTCCCCCGAGCGGCCTGTCAAAACCATTATTGCTCATAAGACCTCGGTTATTGGCCCTACGGTCACTTTGCTTCTCGTTCCTCGTGGGGTTATGCCTGGACTCGTTCCCCTTCCAATCTACACTGTATGGTTGATACTGATCTCGGATCGGCCTTGATTCATGATCGACAACTCTCTTAGGCATGTCGTCGGTTCTTATGGGATAAATGGACCCATAAGAGGCTCCAAGTTGGTCGTACTCGACTCTAATTTTTGACTGGTACCTATTGTGGACGTTGGCCCAAGTTACCGACGGGTACTTTACTAAATTTTGTTTCAGCTGCTGTGAAGCCAAGGAGCTTCGGGGGTTAAGTCCTTGAGTGAATTCCTGAATGGCCCAATCATCCACAACCGGAGGCAAGTCCATCCATTCCATTTGAAACCTTGACACGAAGTCCCTGAGCATCTCGTTGTCTCTTTGCTTAACCTTGAAAAGGTCCGATTTTCTGGTCTCGACCTTGATGGCACCGGTATGAGCCTTTACAAAAACATCCACGATCATAGCGAATGAATCAATGGAATTTGGGGGCAAGTTGTGGTACCATATCATCGCTCCTTTTAACAGAGTTTCCCCGAACTTCTTTACTAACACTGACTCGATTTCGTCGTCTTCCAAGTCGTTACCTTCGATGGCACATGTGTAGGAGGTCACATGCTCATTTGGATCCATGGTTCCATTATATTTTGAAATATCGGGCATACGAAACCTCTTCGGAATTGGCTTCGATGTCGCGCTCGGAGGAAAGGGGATTTGGACAAATTTCTTGGAGTTCAGATCTTTCAATATTGGAGGCGCTACTGGGATTTGATCGACCCGCGAATTATATATCTCTACCTTCTTGTCGTTTGCCTCAATTTTCTTTTCACCTGATTCCACCCGTTTCGTTAATGCTTCTAGCATTTTCACTACTTCGGGGCTGACATCAGACTCAGCTTCGCCCCGGCCTTTCGGTGATCTGCTCATTTCTTCGGGTATTTTTCCGGGACGGTTCTGGCTCAACTCTGCTGGGGGCGCGGCTTTGATTTTGCAGCTACGCTATCGCCTCTTATTGTACCTGCAACACTTCGAAGATCAATCGTAGACTGACCCCGTCGCCTTCGCCTTCGGGCGCTTCTCGAGCCGTTGGTCGGGCTCCTCCGTGAACTTTGTTCTCGGGTTCGGTAGGCAAGTTGGTGTCGATGGCCATGTGCGAGTTAGCATCGACTGGGTCGACAACTGGGACTCCGTTGGGATCAGCAAGGGACACCTCATTGCTAGGCACCAAATTGTTGTTTTCGCCGTGATGGCCAGACTTAGCCTCAATGTTCAAGTGAGCAGACTGAGAATTTGACATTTTTAAGGTTACCTGAAATTGAGACTTTAAAGAACAAGTGTAAAATAGAGTGTGTTGTAGATATTTATATCAAACCGCCACTATTATCCTTAGCCCCACGGTACGCGCCAAACTATTTACACTTAAAATGGATAACAATTAAATTTGTACGCGGTTTTAAGGATATGTGGATTGATTCAACACAAGTAATCAAGAATGTTAGTGAAACGAATTAAAGATAAAATAAATATCCAAACTAGTTGTGACGTTGAGTCCAGGCTCGAATTTAAGCTTAACATTAGTTTTGCCCTCGACCGGACCCTGGATTGGAAGCCAAATGTATACGAAGAACTATGATTAAAATAAGAACCTTTCAATAGCTAGAAAGCAGAGAAATAAATTTGTATTGCCTTGATATGCGTATTACAATGTGTCTATTGAATAAGAAACTTCCCCTTTATATAGTAGGAAAATTTTACCTTATAAAAAAAGTAAAAATCCTCCTTGTACATCAATCACTGACACACTACCGGCATCGAGCGAGATCCGCGCCGTAATATCCGGTTGGGTGCGGATATCACGGCCATCTGTTAGTCATGTGCAACCGTTTGTATTGCTTTCCGAGGTCTTGGAGCTCGTTCCGGGTTCGGGGGGGTGTTGTCTTGTCAGGCCCGGCGGCGATCACCCCGTTCCAGGCTCGATTCAAAGAGTTCTCAGATTCAGTCTTTATCTCATACATTCATACTTCTTACTTCGTTTGACTCACTGAGAACTCGGGGTGTGTACTGACCCCGAGTTCGCCCGTATACAAAAAATTTAATTGATTTCAAAGTTTAAGATATTAGAAAACATTAACACGTAAGTTATTATAGTTATATTACCTGGTTCAATTAAAAATGGGTTTACATAAGGTAACATTTTAGTCGGTTTATTGGGACTTTTAATATTTTAAAAAAATTAATAACAAAAATTTTAATCGATTTTAAAATTTTAATAAATAAAGTTATAGTTGATTTAAAGTCCTAAATATTAGGAATAATGTTTAAATAAAAAAGGGTTTACAGAAGGTAAACATTTTAGTCGGCTTAGGACTTTTAATATTTAAAAAGATTAATAACCAAAATTTTAATCGATTTCAAAGTTCTAAACAATAAGATGATAACTAAATTACACATTTTTCATATAGCTTCACTTTTAGAAGAATTAATGCCAGTACTTATTTTCGTTAAATAAGAGAAAAGTAATATCTTTTGTAGTTTGTATGCCATTATAACTTGAATATCTAAAAGGTATTTCAACGTTATTATTTCTAATAATTGGTCCTAAATATTAGGACTTCGATTTATACAAGGATGAAATTTAGTTAATTTTAATGTCTATATATAATACTTCCTTCAAATATGAAAAGTTTTAATGAATAAAGATATAGCTGATTTAAAGTCCTAAATATTAGGAATAATATTTAAATGACAATTTTATCTAGTGTAAACTCTTTCTTAGGATACGCACGTCGTGCGTGTACC